TATATTTCGCTTACATTTTTTATCAATATAGGGTAACAACGTGGGTGTTCTGTTTAGCACAGATAGCCCTCGTGTAGTTTTGCGCGAAATTCAAAACAAACCACTATGTATGTTTACTGCTATTTAAAAATTTATATTTTCATATGATAAAAATTATGTTTTGAAAGCAAATAAACAAGTAAAACAACGAGTAGGATTTATGGAGGACATCTTTTTTTTTTTTCACTAACAAAAATTATAGGTGCAATATTAAAAAAATAAATAAAAATGATTCAGGTAAAAACAAACGATGTCTTTAGAAGTCATAAATTATTACTGTATTTTACGACTTTCGTTTTCTGACAACACAGCAGAGTGCTATTTGATGGAGATGGGGGATTTTCCTGGCTCTGCTTTTTAGTTTATCACCGGGAATAAAGATTTCATTTGTAATCCCAGAGAGATTATCCCACGATAAAGGATATCTTGAATTTTCAATGCCTTTTTTTTTTCTGAAAAATTGAATCGTATGTTTCTGTAAGCCTTTTTTTTTCTCTCACGCGACTTTTATCTTAGCGATTATCGTGTTTACAAAAAAGTAAAAAGAAATAAACGCTAAATAACAAGGGCGCTTAGCAATCTTTTTAACTGTGTCCGTATGTGAAGTAGAAAGCGATGCCTTGTATTTGTATCTATAGCTTACATAACCAGGAAAACACACACTGTAAACTAAATCATGGCAAGCCTCTTTTTAGACGACTAAAAAATTAAGAGAGCAGTAGTAGCAAATAAAAGATGGCGCTTCTGTCATGAAAAATAAATATGATAAAACCTTCAAGTGGAACTTCAAAGGACCGACCGTGGATTCAACTTTGAACACTTCATAGCACTTAATAAGCTAGCGATCCTAAAGAAATGATTGAGCCTGAGCGCTGTAATCACGCTCAACATTTTTACTTCCCCATCATCACACTAGTCGATGAAAACGCACAAACGAAAGTCGTGAAATGTTTAAATAAAAAACGTGAAAGGTATTTACATGTGGTCAAGGGGTATTCTCTCCTCCTTTACTGTAAATCAATTAAAAACTTGAAAAGTATTTACATGTGGTCAAGGAGTATTCTCTCCTCCTTTACTGTAAATCAATTAAAAACGTGAAAAGTATTTACATGTGGTCAAGGGGTATTCTCTCCTCCTTTACTGTAAATCAATTAAAAACGTGAAAGGTATTTACATGTGGTCAAGGGGTATTCTCTCCTCCTTTAATGTAAATCAATTAAAAACGTGAAAGGTATTTACATGTGGTCAAGAGGTATTCTCTCCTCCTTTACTATAAATCAATTAAAATCGTAGAAAGGCATTTACATGTGGTCAAGGGGTATTCTCTCCTCCTTTACTGTAAATCAATTAAAATCGTAGAAAGGCATTTACATGTGGTCAAGGGGTATTCTCTCCTCCTTTACTGTAAATCAATTAAA